TCTCGGGCAGAATCGCGGCGTCTTAAGGCACGGCTTGATGCCGTGGCCGTGCAAGGGACAACCGGAGCCGTGGGGACGGTTCCAAGGCTTGAGGCGCCCAAGCCGGACGAATATAAGGGCAGCCGTCGCTTGAGGGACGTAGAGAACTTTCTCTACAGCATGGAACGGTACTTTGGGGCTATGAATATCATGGACGACTCGGTAAGACTCTTCCAAGCCTCTCTTTATCTTAAAGATAGTGCTTTATCATGGTGGAAACGTATGATGAAACCCGTGGGGATGGAGACCCGGTCTTCACCACGTGGGATGGTTTTAAGGAAGAGTTTAGAAAGTATTTCCTACCGGTGGATGCGGAAGACGAAGCCGGGCCAAGCTTCGTCGTCTGCACCATAGGGAAGGCCAAATTCGGGAATACGTTAAGGAATTTTCGGACTTGATGCTTGAAATTCGGATCTCTCGCCCAAGGAGGCGTTCTTTACTTTCATGGACGGTCTCAACCGTTGGGCCAAACTTGAGCTACAACGGAGAGAAGTCCAGGACATCGATCGGGCGTTAAAGGTGGCCGAGTCGCTTGTTGAGTTCCAAAGAAGGATAGCTCCAAGGACAAGGGCAAGAAGCCGTTCCAAGGCAAAGGTGGGGAGACAAAGGAAGTCTTCCACCCCCGAAGCCGGCAGCCGACTATACAAAGCCGTCTTCAAGCAAGGAGACCAAGGGGACAAGCCAAAGAAGTTTCAAGGGTGCTTCTTGTGCGGGGGAGCGCACATGGCACGTGATTGCCCGTCTCGTTCGAAGTTGGCAGCATTGGCACAAGGTTTGTGCCAAGAAGAGGAGAAACGGGTCGCTTGCATGAAACGGCTAGATGCCGTGCATGCCAAGGCCGAGACACGTCAAGGCCGTCTTTACATGGAGGCATCGTTCGCAAACGGGTCTAGATGGGGCATGCTAGACACGGGGGCCGACACGAGTTATCTCACGGAAGAGGTAGCCCGTTCGCTTGGCGTCAAGTGGACACCTAGCAAAGGCCGTTTCAAGGCGTGAACGGTGAATGGACGGGTCTTGTAGGCGAAGCCGGGGATGTGCCTCTTAAAATCGGCAACTGGTCAGGTACGGCTAATTTCTCCATTGCACCTATGGATGATTATGGTCTTGTGTTTGGCATGGAGTTTTTAGACCAGGTAAAGCCGATCATCGTGCCTAGCAACGACACGATGGTGATCCTCCAAGGCGAGAAGCCTTGTGTGGTAAAGTTTAGACGGAAAATGAGATTAGCCCTTCCCACTGAACAAGGGGCTAAAACGGGTGAACACACCTTTGCCGCCATGGTGTTTGAGGAGGAACCATGCACAGAGGAGCCGGCAAAGGAGGAACGAATCCCGCCTCCCATAGAGCAAGTCCTTGTTGAGTTCAAGGACGTGATGCCCGACGATTTGCCCAAAGGTCTTCCACCAAGGAGGAGGTTGATCATGCCATCGAGTTGGTGGACGGGCGAAACCGATAGCCAAGGTGCCTTATCGTATGTCCCCTAGCGAGCTAGAGGAGCTCAAGGTGCAAATCAAGGAGCTACTTGAATCGGGTCATGCAAGGCCGTCTAAAAGTCCGTGGGGTTCGCCGCCTTGTTCCAACGCAAGAAAGATGGGACGCTACGTTTGTGCATCGACTATCGGGCGTTAAACAAGCTAACCGTGAAGAACAAGTACCCTATCCCACTTATAGCGGACTTGTTCGACCGGCTGCAACGGGCACGGATCTTTTCCAAGCTAGACTTGCGGAAGGGATACTACCAAGTACGCATAGTACCCGGTGATGAACCGAAAACGGCCATGGTGACGAGGTATGGCTCTTATGAGTTTCTTGTTATGCCGTTCGGTTTAACTAATGCCCCAGCCACGTTTTGCACTTTGATGCAACGTGTGCTAGCGGATTTCATTGATAAGTTCGTTGTAGTATACTTGGACGACATCGTTATCTATAGTAACACAATGAAGGAGCATGTGGAGCATCTTAGAGCCGTTTTTCAAGTCCTTAGGGAAAACCAGCTCTATGTTAAAAGGAGAAGTGTTCCTTCGGCCTTGAGGAGGTGTCGTTCTTGGGACACATCATTGGTGGGGCAAAATCCGCATGGATCCGGCCAAAATCAAAGCTATCGTGGAGTGGGAGGCACCCACGAAGCCAACGGAGCTGAGATCGTTCTTGGGGCTTGTTAATTACTATCGGTTCATTGAAGGACACTCCACCATAGCCGCTCCATTAACGGATCTCTTGAAAAGGGGCAAGCTTGGTGTTGGACACCAAAACACCAAACAGCGTTCGAGGCTTTAAAGGACGCTGTCACTCGAGAGCCGATCCTAGCTCTCCCTGATTTTGAGAAACCGTTTGAGGTGTGCACGGACGCTTCGGACTTCGCCATTGGGGGCGTTCTCATGCAAGATGGTCACCCGATCGCCTTTGAAAGTCGCAAGCTGAACGAGACCGAGAAAAGGTGGCCGACGACGAGAAGGAGATGTTGGCTATAGTTCACTGCCTTAGAGTTTGGGAGCATTACTTGAAGGCCGCCACACCGTTCAAGATCAAGACGGATAATCGGGCAGTGAGCTACCATCAAAGCCAACCTAAGCTTTCAAGCAAGCAAGCGCGTTGGTTGGACTTCTTGGCCGAGTTTAAATACGAGCTTGAGTATAGCCCGGGGAAGACTAACCACGTGGCCGACGCGTTAAGCCGAAAGGCGTGTCTTGCGCCAATCGTTAGCATACCCGAAGGGATGTTGGTTGATCGCATCAAGAAGGGTCTTGAGCACGACCGTCAAGCCCAAAGGTTCATGGAGCTCGTGAAGGAAGGCAAGACAACACGGTTCTGGCTTGAGGATGGGATACTTTATGCCAAGGGGAACCGTTTGTACGTGCCCGCATGGGATGGACTTAGAAGGGAGATTCTAAGGGATTGCCATGATAGCCGTTATGCGGGTCACCCAGGTACGCATCGCACACTTGCCTTAGTCCATGAACGGTTCTATTGGCCTCGCATGCGGGAAGACGTGGAGACGTATGTAAGGACTTGTCTAGTTTGCCAACAAGACAAGACCGAGCAAGACCTCCCGCATGGCTTGTTATCACCCTTGCCTATTCCGAACGCCCGTGGGACAGCGTTTCGATGGATTTCATCGTGAGCCTGCCCGTTTCCGAGGGTTGCACCAACATACTTGTTGTGGTAGACCGTTTGTCTAAGTATGCGGTCTTCATTCCCGCCCCAAAAGAGTGCACCGCGGAGATAACGGCCAAACTCTTTCTTAGGCATGTGGTGAAGTATTGGGGCTGCCTACATCGATCATAAGCGACAGGGACTCGAGGTTCACCGGCCGTTTTGGCAAGAACTCTTTCGTTTGCTTGGGACGGAGCTCAAGATGTCTACATCTTTGCACCCGCAAACAGATGGGCGACGGAGCGCATCAACGGCCTCTTGGAAGTGTATCTCGGGCACTATGTGGCAGCCAACCGAAAGATTGGGTACATTTGCTAGACGTTGCCCAATTTTCCTATAACTTGATGCGGAGTGAGAGCACGGGCAAAAGTCCGTTTGAGATTGTCCTTGGTTTCCAACCAACTACGCCTAAGGACATTCTTGGGGCTATAAGGGCAATAGCCCACCCGCATACAAGTTTGCCAAAGATTGGCAAGAACGGGCCGACGAGGCAAAACTCTACTTGAGAAGTCGGCCGCACGCATGAAGAAATGGGCGGATAAGAAACGGACCCGTCGCGAGTTTGAAGAAGGCGACCAAGTCTTGGTGAAGCTCTATGAGCATGGACGGAGCCGTGGTCTACACAAGGGTCTCATGCGCAGATACGAGGGTCCTTTCACCGTTCTTAAGAAAGTGGGTTCGGTTGCTTACAAGCTGGAACTACCCGAGGCCTTCTCAAGGCTTCATCCAGTCTTTCATGTGAGCCTACTTAAGCCATACCGCAAGGACCCAGAGGACGAAGAACGGAACGTTTCCTCAAGGGCACCAGGTGGCGTACGCGAGCATGAGAACGGACCGCAGAGGAGATCCTTTCTAAGAGGATCGTTCGGGCGAGAGCGGGCAGCAACTAAAGAATACTTGGTGAAATGGAAGAATTTGCCAATGAGTGAGACGAGTTGGGAGCCAATCGAGAAGCTTTGGCAATTCACCAAATTGATCGAGGACTTTGAGGAGAATCGTGCACCCGTTCCTATCAACATTGCCTTCGAGACTTAGGTGCATCGGGCGATGCACCATTTTGGTGGGGAGGATGTCACGGACGCTTTTCTTCACCATGAATTCGGGTGGTTTGATGCGAAACGGGCTATTTTCGTAGACGGACATGGGACGGAACGGTCTAGAGCCTTGTGGAATTCTCCGGTCAAATCTTGAAGACTGGAATTTTCTAGAGAGGCCGGAACTCTCTAGAAACGAGTGGAACCGTATGGAAGCTACCCGAGTTTGCTAGAACCGTGTGGAAGATTCTAGAGACTTGTAGATATTTTGAACTTAGAATATTTTATTGTAGGAATTCTCTGAATCCCATTATTTTATTATGTACATAGAATTCTCTAGAATTCTTTAGGACTTGGGGGTTTGCCTATAAATACCCCATGCCCCCTTCATTTGTAACCATCCAAGCTTTGAGTAGAGTTCTCAAGATTCCTGCTCTCTTGTGCGCCTTCATCATTCTTTCACTTTCAACCTTTCTTAAGTTTTTCTTTGCCTCCGTTCTTAAGGTCTTGCCTAGCTTTGACGTTTGGGGGGTCTTAAGGCTGAAATAAGACTTGATCGTTAGTTGTTTTGTCTTTAGTCTTGCACTGGCGTTACTTTGAAAAAGTAAGCCCGTGACACAGGGAAGGAATATCGGTTCGATTTCAGTCGGTTGAATTACAAAGAAAAAATTTGATTAAGTCGAACCAAACTCGGTCGAACCGAGCCGAACCCACCGAATTATCGGCCCGAGCCGCATCCCGAATGGGATTAATTGATGAAGATGATAAACACAATTCTCGAAGCCTACTGAATTCCACGCATTCCACTTTTCAATTCAATCAAATGAGCATGAAAAATCCCCAATTCTGCAATTAAAATGAACCTCATTTTTTGTTTTTTTCAACCTCTGCAACAGCTCAGTTCATAATTTCCCCAACCTTAATAGCAGAGGGAAAGGTAAAAATCCCACAAGGAAGAAACCGAACCGAGGGAAGGAGATATGGCGAGGGGAACTAGCAAAACTGGTCTTGATCAAGAAAGCAAAGCAGGGTCGTTTTTCATGGCGACTTTAGTGATGTGGGCTGTTTCAGTTTTGTTCGAAATTGGGTTTAATAAGCGCACTGAGCTGCTTTTGATCGTTGCCGGGTTCTGTTTCTACCAATTTTCCAACTGGGTCATCCGCAATTACCTCTCTCGTGATCCTCTCTTTGTGAATACTTGCGTTTCCTTGCTCCATTCCTCCGTTACCTCTGCAACAGGTCCCTCCTCAGTACTCTGCTTTTGTTTTGATATTTGCTTAAGGAAAATTCATATGTTGTGCTATTTTTTTTTCTCCAATGATAGTTTTTGCATCATATTGGTGTCCGGTGTTAAGTTTAGGTTGTCATCATGAGTTTGCTTACATGTGTTGTGTATGCATTGTCTTATTGATTTGAGATGTGAATTGCAATGTGTTAACTGCTATTTCCAATAATTATTTATTTTGATATATACTGATGATTAGGCGCCTTAAGTTAGAAAGTAATTGAGCAGTTTGATCAGGTATCGCGAGATACTTTCAGTTGTAGAATGTGAGTTTGGGTTTTTATAATAAAAATGGATATTTCAAAATGGAAACAGAGAATTTGATCATGTGCGCTTTCAATAATGTATAATTGCTTTGAAACTCATGCAATAATATCTTGTGTACATTGTCATGGAAATCATCTTGACAATCTCCTGTATAGTTGATGCAGGAAGATTTCAGAAATATGGGTAGCTTCATATTAGGTTTAAGGAAAATAGCTAGAATCTTCTTAGAATTAAGTTTCCTTTTAGTTTAATTTCCTGTTTGCTAATTACCTTAATTATGAATTAGTTTTAGGCAATTTTAGTAGCTTTAGGAATAAGCCAGGCTTCTCTATAAATAGGGTGGTTCTGCAGTAGTTGTGATGGACGTTTTTGATATTAATATAGTTTTAAGCTTTTGAAGCTGCCAAAGACTTTGTCTTTCTGAAATCCCTACAGCTAGGGTTTGCCTTTCCGTCTGTTTTCAATTACCACCCCCCCCAATCCCCATCAGTAGTTTCGCGTCAACTTTCCCGAAGATGTACCTTTCCAAGAGAACCAAATCTAGAGCCTTACAATATTAAAATAACATTAACACTGGATTTCTGCTGAAGAACGAATGAAAGGCATCTGCATACACCTGCTTGGAGGGCCTATTTTACCTTTTATAACCGTTATGATATGATAACCACGTACCATGCTAATAGTTTCTATTTAGATCTTTGTTTTCTTAGATTTGTTTATTTTAACTCTTAACCCTGTTGAATATGAACATTTTGTGACTGTATCTGAAAAGAAAGGATATGAGTACCAGTTCTCGGTTTTCGCAGGTGTTTGGGACGGAATATGATGACATGATTACCTTTTTTAACTTTAAAATATGTAGAGCATCTTTCAGTTTGCATTTCGGATTAGCTGAAGTTTATTTAGGACAAATTTCAGATGTTTGAGGTTGTTTATTTTTGGCATTTGAGTATTTTGGAGGAAATTGATATCATTTGTTGGGATAAGTTTTGTGCTACGTAAATAAGTTGGCAATGAATGGTTTTGAGAAATCCAATTGGAGTGGTAGTTGAAGCAGTCTGTAAGTCTTAATGTGCGATCTTTCACCATCCATGAAATCTAGACATTTTAGATGGCAGTTATTGAGTATAAAACGAAGAAATATTTTGATTGGCGTCGCCAGCTAGCTAATGCTGAACACTTCCTCCAAAGTGATAAACTGCATTGAAGCGAGGTTCTGGTCTTAATTCAGATCTATAACTCCGTATGAATTACTAAATATAAATGGAATCGAAGTTTTGGATTATTTCGTGGAGATAAGTTTTTTAAAATTAAATGTCACTCTAATTGTTTTGTCATTGATTATTCTGATACGAGATTTTGGCTAATAAATGTTGCTGAGGACCCAACCTTGTCGAGTAGGATTATGTTACTGCAGAAGAAGAGTTTAGTAGTTAACAATATTCACAGATTTTCTGTGATAAACTATGAAACGTGGAGTTGCGAGAATCTTATTTCTAAGTCCATTTTGTCATTTTAGAGCATTGTCGACGAAATATCATGGAAAATAAGAAAAACTGGTAATAAAGTGTCTTGTTAGAAAATCTAGCACTTGGGGTGGCAAGAAGGGGGGACATGGCTCTGCTTTCCTTAACCTAAAATGGAAAACTGTATTCACAACTGTAGTATGAGAGAACTGAATTTGTCTAACAGTTGTGATACAAATGTATGGGAGAAGAGTATAAGGGGTTGGATTGTAGCTCAAATTTCCTTCTCTCCTTTCGGACGGGTCACCTTATTAGCATGGCAATGTAATCGAAGCAATGAATCCTGGATAAAGTTTTCTTGATTCTTTGTAGTTAATACAAGCTAACTTTATGCATTGAAGGCATGTCGGTTTTATAGCAACTAGTATAGCTCTTCCCTCAGCTATTATATTTTTCTTACTTGTCTCAGTTTCTAGTACGTAGGGTTGGTCATTCATTGTAGGAGAAGTTGGAGATTCTCTGTTGAGGTAATGGAATGGATCATATTAACTCGTTAAATAAAGTTTTGAGTTTTTGTCATTTTTTCCTATGTCCTTTTCGCTTTTCCCTGATATTGTTTTGTTAGAAATTGAACAATTATTTGCTCTTAATTGATGGTGCGAACTAATCCTGCTTGCTTGCACCTTGTCTTCTGTCATTATCATGAGACAATAGGAAATCATAGGAATAGCTAAAGGCAATTATGTTGTATTAAATGGTTCAGTCATGTCCAATGTTGATAGGAGTGCGACGAAACCAATGGCCTAAAGTTTCATAAGTTTTCATTCCATTCATTTTTTTGAGCAGGGGTTTTTTGTAAGGAGTGGCAAAAAGAGTATAAGTTATTTGTGTTTCTACTATACAAGTTGTCTCTCTGCTAGAAGAATCAGTTTGCTACAAATGCAGACCTTGTCTTCTGAATAAGAAGTTCTCTACACTGATAGACCTCTCTGGTGGAACTTTTTTCATTTTCTGATCTACTGAATCATCTGTTACTTATGTGCTAATTGCGTCACGAGACAGTTTTTGACAAATGTATGTACCCACACACATATAAGTGTGCTAATTTTCTTTTATTTTTGTGCAGTGGTTATTGTTTTAGTTAACCAGTGGATCAAAAGTGGAACAGAAGACATGTTTGAGCACTTCCAGTTGGTTGATGTTATGTGGCCTGGGGCATATTCAGCTTTGTGTTTTTCATCTGGTTACTTTGCTTACGATCAGTGGGATATGTTACTCTATCGGCTTTATAGTGGCACAATTCCTTCCATTCTAGTTCATCATCTTGTGCTACTCATTTGCTTTACTCTTGCCTTGTTTCGAAAAGTTACGATCAACTATCTACTGCTCACCCTGATTTGTGAGGTAAATCTTCATGTTTAATGTCTTGTTTATTCAATGAAGTTACTGATCACAAATTGGAGTGTGGGTATCCGGATCCCTGGCTAATTTTATCTGGCTTTTTATGGGGACTAGCACCTTTAACGAGAAAGCTTGAGAGTGGAAGATGTTGTTGAATAACTAGAAAGTTATCTATGTAATTGAAGGATTCCTGATTCCCCTATGGAACAAACAAACCCCCCACCCCCTCTCTCCTCTGTGATACTTCTCTCTTTATTGTTCTTTTTTCTCTTAACTTCCCATCTTTGATCATGTTTGCGAGTCTTTAGTTTAGAATATTTGAAGTAACTTTATCACCATAATCCTAGCGTTATTGACAACCCTTTTCTGGTGAAGCAAATTAGTGGTGATAATGGATTCACTAATGAACAAGATGTTAGGTGGTGTATTGCCTAACTTGGAGAATTTTCAAATGACTGTCAAGATGACATGCGCCATGGTTCAAAATCAACTCCACATTTAACTTCGGATGAAATAAGATTTGGCATTAGCACATATCCAAGTCATATTTAGATTTCTTTTATCGGTTCAGTTTGAGTGGAATCTAACATTGGTGAATGGTTATATCATGTTTCAGATCTTGTCCCAGATATGGTTTGGGGTAGTATCTTCTATTCTTCTTGATTTTATATTTGAAAAGGTTGAGTGAGTTGGTATTCATTATAAAAAGCAATCGCCTAATAGATTGGATATGAAGATTGAGTCATTATTTCAAAACACGTGTGATACCAGGATTTATGATGATACCAGATGTTATAGTAGAATTTGATTGCTAGATATCATCTTTCTGTCTTCTTTTTTAGTTATTAGGTAAATTTATCTATGATGCATAGCATCAGTCTGCTTTATCACACTTTATTTACTCTAGCCCTGTGCAGTATTTATCTTCTTTTTGAGGAGTCCAATATGTGGTATTTCCTAAACTTGCTGCATCAAGTTTATTAATGATAATACAAATTTTGGGAAATTCATTTTCCGGATGACACTACTTATCAGGGACAAATTAGTGGCACCAAAAATTCTGACATTTAAGTGTCGATGGTTTCACAATGCTCTAGGAAAATGTTGAATCCGCTTGCATGTGGGTTAGTATGGCTGTAGACTGAGACTAGGTTCTCAAAGAGTTATTATCCCATGCCCTATTTGCCCTTTTGAGATTTTCTTTGTCGCTGTTGCTTTCTCTTCTTAATGAAGATATAAATGGCTCAATTGTTGCTTATTCATTATTCTGATACTGAATTTGTTCTATGATGCAGCTGCATTCAGTGTTTCTGCATACAAGAAAGGTGCGCCGAATGGCTGGATTTCGCGATGGCAGTAGCATAGTTGTGAAGATAGAATGGGCTTTGAATTGGTTTACATTTGTGGTGGCACGGGTCATTTCTCATGTGCTGATTACTGTCAAGCTCATTAAAGATGCTTCCAAGTTTGGGAAAGGTGTGGAACTCCCACTTGCACTCTGTGGAATGGCTGGGATGAATTTGCTTAATACCTTTCTGGGACTTGACCTGTTAAAAGCATATAGAAGGGAAATGAAAATCCAGAAAGATATCAACAATCACAACGATTAACTATGGTGGTAGCTATTGGGTAAAGGGCTTGTGCATGTATATGTGAGTGGTATCCTATGTGTTTAATTCAATATGTAAATGATGTGTTGTATATCAATTACACAAGAAAGCCACAAAGAAGATCATCTTGTAGCTGTTGTTCGCCAGTCTACAACTTTGAAAGCAAAAATTTTGGAATTATTTGTCTACCAGATCACTCTTTTTTCAGATCATGTAACTGTTTCAGATGTTGGTGTGACAAGCGGAAACTTCTCCATGTGTATCCATAATGTTTATTCCTATTTCAGTTTTCAAGAGCCTGTATTAGTACATAGTACTGAGGACTATGTTGGGAAACAATGGAAGTTGGGAGATGCAATTCCTTTGTTGGATGTTTGGTGTTGAGATACATATGATGATGCTACACTGTCTTGAAGTAGTAGTTTGGATATGCTTTGGATTCTTCTAACTCACAAATTGTACTAGATTTAGTCCCCCATAGGGAACTTGTTACTTTGCCTAATAATGAGTAATTTTTTAGAAGCTTGATCTCAGTGGTAGAACCTCAAATCTTTTGCTTAGAAAATACGTAGTATTTAGACTTGTTATCAACAATTTTTGTTTGACGCCTATTTGGGATCAAATTTTTACTATATTCAAAGAGATGATGATGATGATGACCCTCCTCTTGTTTCCCCTGTTGGGACTTGGGATCTTCCATAACCGTTTTTATTAATATTTATATAGGGTGTCTGCTGTCGACATTGTGATTAATCTCCATACAGAATCGTAGAAATTTTAATTAAATAGTACAACTAGTTATACAAATTTAGATTGCTTCATCGCACGATATTGTATTTCAAATCCCCCACCTAAAACTTTCCGTTTATTGGGTGTAAGGCAGGTTGGCCCAATCATATTTTACCCCACTATCATAGAAAAATAATTTGATTTCATTAAAAAAATTATCCCCACAAAAATAATATAGCTTCATTAAAAATTCATCATAATTATAATAGAGGTAAGCAGCTGTTTTACTTTTGAAATATATACATATATATATATATATATATATATATATAGAGCTGAATAGTGACACAATTAAAATTTGTGGATAATTACATTGAGAGCTGACCAAAATCTTATATCTTCCTAATGAGAGTTTTTTGTTTTTTCTTTTTTAAGTGGCGTATTATTATTGTTACATATCCTTGAAATGTCAAATACTACAGTAAAAAGAAAAGAAAAGAAAAATTGTGCATTGAAGTACTTTTCTCCCGAAATAAAAATGAAAATTGGACAAATATTCACAATAAAAATGAACTCTTACTGTTACTGGTGTATTGTATAGATTGGGAACTTAGTTCTTATTAGTGAAAGAATTACCCGAACTTTTTCTTAGTACTCTCTGGTCCTGCCTCCCTGTGTTCTTAAATTATTATTCAATTCATATATTTACTTTTTAAATACTCCTTCCGTCCCATAATTATTCTCCACTTTACCCAAAAAATTTTGTTCCAAAATTATTGTCCAATTTGATTTTTTATGGATCAAGTTACACATTTGTCCTTAGTAAAAAACATTATCCATAAAATCTTAGTGGTTAAACAATTACTTATGTAGGGGTATATCCGGTTGTTTAAGGTAAAATATAGTTAAGTTTGACTAAAAATAAAATCTTTCATTTTAGTAAAACTGGACAATAATTATGGGACGGAGGGAGTAATTTATATTAAAACTGAAAATTTAAATTGAATAATATTTTTGGACGAAAAGAGTATTTGCTTGGGTTGAAATCTAAGAGTTGAGTTCCGAGAACTTGGAGTCGATTGAAGAAGTTATCTTGTTGGCCGCGCAGTCTTTTATTCCCGTGTTCACAATCAAAGTGTTTTTACCATCAATTGTCTCAGCTAATGGACAATTTTCCTGGAAACTTTCAGAATAATAACCCTTTGGCCCTTTCAAAGGGGAACGCAAAACTAGGTTTGATTTCGAGGGAAAATTTCTTCCGAGCTTTGAATTTCCGGTTATTGATCAATCTTGTCTCCTTGCTTTAATACAGTATATATCCTTATATTTCTTCGAACCCCTTTATTTTATTTTGTTTTTGTCTTTTTTAGGTAAATAAATATTGTCGGCACTAGTTAGAAGTTTTGGAATGATATTACTTTATTACACGATGCACAACGTTCCCTCTTCATAAACCAGTGGTGATGATCTTCATCTTCTTCTTGTCAAAGGTACAGTTTCTTTCTATTTGTAAGTCGTCGTTAAATAGATGATGATTTACCCATATTTCAGTTGCCAACTTTGTTGAAGAAAACTAGTAGAAAAAAGAAGAAATATTTTTAGTTTTTTTTTTAATGGTATTTTTCTTCTTTTCTTTCTATGAATGATGGAATTTACAATGGAAAAAAATATCCATATAGGGAAAATTTGGCAAGACCAACAAAAAAAAAAAAAAACACTACATCTATTCATTTTTTATATATATTTTTAAAGATTTATGCATTTAGGGGATAATTTGTATGATTAACACATCAGTTATATGTTGTTTATTCATCCATTTATCAGTTATATGCATTTAGGGGATTTATTCATCCATTTTTTTAAACCTTACTGACTGCATATCATCTCGTCCATTTAAGAGTAGGTCTGTTTATTCATCCATAAAAGTAATAATTACAATAATCTTTTAGTAATTAATTTCTACTAAGAAAGTGTCAAGCTAGCATTCAAATTCCGTCGGTGGAACTGTCTTGATGAACAAAAATTAAAAATGACAACGTTTGATTATGTCTAAGATGAAAGTTGATCATATGAAGAAGAAACAAAAAACAATTAAATTAAAATCAAATGTGGATCACACAGATACCGATCAAATAAGAAAATACTACTAATTGCATTAGTACTTCTGACTTTGGGAAATTCACATTGTCATCAAGAACACAGACAACTGCATTGGTATTCACCAACTTGGTGATATGGAATGGAAGGAATTTTATCTTATACTTTTTGATAATGAGCTTATAAGAAATTATTTCATGTGTTTATCAGTTCATCACCATTGTATTCCCTTAAAAACTCTGAAAATGAAGAATTCTAATGTGCATTTAACACCAGATTATCAGGTTCCATCTGGGCTCCTAAGTTGCACCACAGTATCTTGTTTGATAGTGTCTCCGCTCTAAAATTATTGTCCAGTTTAGATTTCGAGATTAAGAGAGTATTTAGGGTTTATCTTTTCCTTTTATTAGACAATAAATAGAAACCCAATAATTCCGAAAAATGATATATTTGGTGAAAACAAATAGTGAAAAAGAAAACCGACTGATGTGTCATATACTTACTTCCCCTATTTTTTTTTGTACTTTCCCGTTAAAAGTTTTATTTTTCTTAAAAAATTACATTTTTATGCCTTACACATTAGTCACTATGAGTTTTTTTTTTTTTTTTTCACTCTCCCTATCATTGTTGTATAATTCCGAGCCGGAGGGAGTATTTTGGGTTTATCATTATATTAGTCCCCGTTCAAAATGTAAATCAACTGTATCATTCAACCTCTTCAAAGAATATCTCCCCTGCCTCTACAATTTGTTGGATCCAACCTAAAACTTAGAAGTGGCAGGCCAAAAAGCAGTCTGGTTACAGTAGCTCCAACTTTGAAGAGGAAAACTAAGAAAAATCATCAGAAGATTTTATACTGGTATTGAGGCCTCTTTTTACTTGAGTGATATAAATCCTGCATGGCTTCAACAACAACTATTTATTGAGAATGACCAGCCATTCCCATCCGTCTTTATAGTGATCATTTGTTAAAAACATACCGATTTCATTCCAAAATAAGAGTCGGGTTTGTTCGTTCATAAAAAAAGAGTAGTAATAGTCTTTTAGTAATGTCTACTAAGAAACTGTCAGTTGGTATTCAAATTCCGTCGGTGGAACTGCCAATGAGAGTTAACAATGACAGGGTCTAATTATCTCCAAACTTTGACAATGAAACTTTAAAATATAATATAAATCTGCAATTTGATCTTCCTTTCATGTGCTTTTGATCTCATTCAATACTATAACCACGTTTAATATAAGCGGGGTTTATATCAAAAACAGGTGCATTAATCTCAATTATAGATGCCACAGGGCTATCAATAAGAAAATACTTCAATTAAGTAATTCTGACCCTGGAAATCACAAAGCCATTAAGCATTTCTTCAAAAACAAAGACAACTGCATTGGTATGCATTATCACCATTGAATTTCCTTTAAACCTCTGAAAATGAAAGATTCTAGTGTACATTTAACACCACATTATCAGGTGCCATCCGGGATCGTAAAATGTTTTGCAGTATTTTGTTTGATATTTCTGGTTTATCTTCTCCTTTCATTAGTCCTTGTTCCAAATGTAAATCAACTGTATCATTCACTTTCTTCCACGAATGTCTCCCCTGCCTCTACAACTTCCCTTGAACACATTGTTTTTGGGATTGCCTCTTCCAAAAACTCATGGTTTAGAAGGAAAGAATATGTTAGGCTTTGGTGGCAGCCGGAAATAATGAGAGGATGTGTTTTTGTTGAGGAAATGCCACAAGAATCAATATCTGTAAGAAATGATTCTGTTTCTCTTCCGCCTCTATGCGTTTCTGCTGACACTTCTCGATTTCCATACACGTATAACGGTGGTCTAAGGTCAGCAATCCGTGTAGCCCGGGTCGTATCAGAAACTGTGGCTTTGAACCACAGTAATGTCAGATGGTTTGTGTTTGGAGATGATGATACATTTTTCTTTCCTGAGAATCTGGCGAAGACCCTGGCGAAGTATGATCATGGCCTGTGGTATTATGTTGGGACTAATTCAGAAGATTTCGAGGCGAATAAACTTTTTTCGTTTGAAATGGCATTTGGTGGAGCAGGATTTGCTATAAGCTTTCCCCTTGCTAAAGTTTTGGTTAAAGTTCTTGATCCATGCCTGGAAAGGTACCCTCATCTCTATGGCAGTGATGCAAGGATTTTTGCCTGTTTGACTGAACTCGGCGTCTCTTTAACTCATGAACCTGGATTTCATCAGGTACTACTATTTTTCCTACCTGACCAAGTTAAAACAATGTTTCTACTTCTCCGTGTTTTCAGTTCTTTGTATTTTAGTTACAAGCTTGCTAGTTCAGCTCAGCTAATATCTCCGTGTTTTTAACAACAAAAGATGGATGTTAGGGGAGATATGTTTGGTTTATTAGCCGCCCATCCCACGAGACCATTGGTTACGCTTCATCATTTGGATGCAACTGAGCCAATTTTTCCCAACATGACAACTTTGGAGGCTTTGAAACACTTAACTAAAGCAACAAGGTTAGATCCTCAGAGGATCTTACAACAAGCAGTTTGCTATGATCAAAGATTATCGTTTACAGTTTCCGTGTCCTGGGGATACGCACTTCAACTGATCAAAGGAAATGTGCCTCTCCCTGATGTCTTACGAGCCCAACAGACTTTCAGGTTCTGGAAAGAGACACCACAAGTTAATATTGATACTCAGAGATATGACTCTGATCCATGTAGGCGGCCAGTTGTTTTCTTTTTCGACAGTGTCTCCTCCAATGGGGATCATATTGTTAGCATCTACAAGAGGATGGAAAATAACTGTACATATGACTACAAAATCGAAGAAATCAGAGTGTATTCAGAAAAGTTAGACCTTGACATAAAACAGGTAAAGTTTTTTTTTTCGTTCATGTCAAAGTTTTTAATTTCTTATTGCTTTTATTAACTCAATGGTTCATTTTACCACCTGTGAATTGCAGTTAGAGGCACCACGAAGGCAATGCTGCAATGTGTTGCAATCCTCAAAAAGCATTACAGATATCGGCATTAGAGAATGTGGACCTGAGGAACTAATTCACATGCATCCATAATTTTGGTCTTCATTAAAGGATTAGAAGCTTTTCGGTTCTGGATTCTGGTGAGACCAGTTTTGTGGAGTTTATTTGGAAGTTGCATCTGCAGAGAAAATCACTTGCAAAAGAATGAAAGCAAGACTGGAACATAGGTTTGGAGGGCGAGACTGATGTGTAAGACCCCTAGCATGGGCAGTTGTGACAGTAGTTTCAGTCTTTCAGATACCTGATGAATAGCAAAATCATAAATAATTTGTGAATGTGGATAGTAGTAGTTGAAGCATTACCTGAACCGAGAATTCTCTCATTTCTCTCATTTTTAAAAAAGGAAACCATTCAGCCAACAAGACAGTTAAAACCTAGTGTGATTTGGGCTGTCCTTTTGGATGCATAGATCTTTATCCACTGTCCTCTTTTTCTGTTGCAGTGATTACATACGAGTTTTGAGGTTCACCAGGATGGTTTATCCTGGAGTTCCTGAAGTTTGGGAATGACATTTCATGTTCTTACAGTGGTTATGTTGCTAGTAGCTACTCTTGGTGGCTCTATTTTTTCTCAACTTTGGCCTTCTATCTGATGGATTGGTAGTTTCTCACTTAGGATTTTAGTTTGGGAACATCTGCGGGCTATATGTGTCCATTCCTTAATATGCAAGTAGTTCAAACAAATGGAAATTATGTACAGAAAAATATCATAGGAGGAACTTGATATGAAAGAGCCATAAACTTGAAAAGTTTCCTACTGAACTTCTATCAGGTGATGTGGAGACGCAGAGAATGATGCTAACAATGGGCCTTTGGAAACGTGTTCCACTGATGAGAAGTACAATGACCATTGGAACTAAAACAATGATTTGAAGGAAGAAAAAGCTTCTTTCAGCGGCATTCAAGTAGAGCTTGAAACTGATATTTGAGAGTTAGATTGAACACTAATTGATGTAAGATTGGACAGAAGTACATAACTGTGTTCCATACAAACAAGGTAAGCATTATTACCAGTTCTTTTGTTCAAACATTTTACACTCCACAGGCATTGTCAATGTAGTGGATTTCTTGATATATTGCCTATTAAATGCATGAAGGTAAAGTTATTTTTATGGTGGACATCTGTAGCTAATGACTGACTTGCAGTGCAATTGTGATTTACATCTCTGGCTTGAGTAATTGTCGACTCGTTTTTGCATTGCAGTTCAGGTTATGCATCTTTGTACGGATAAGTTTAGTGTGCTCGTGTTTGATAATACTTAGCAGGGTAGAGAAGTCAAAAGAGTTTATGTTCATTTGGACAAGAGTTTTGAAAAGTTATTCAAAAAAGTATGTTTGAAACAAAAGTTGAAAAAGTAATTTTTGAAAAATAATACATTTGGACAAGAATTTTTCAAAACCTTTTTACGAATTAAAAATATGAAAAAACTATTTGGATTACGTCTTTTTCAAAACTACTTTTTTGGTAAAAAATAAATAATTTACCTTTTCATATACATAATAGTTAAAAAATATATACAGTGATTTTGATATATAAATTTGAATGAAATTTTTAATTCCAAAAATATTAACAATGGTTCTTAATAGAAAGATCTCGTCGCGTAGATTAATTTAATATATAGCACGTTATCTAAATATTTATAAATTAAAAGATATAATCATTTGAAAAAATAGGATAAAACTGAAAATAAATAAAAATTAAAAAGAAAAGTGGGGCCGACAACAAAGTGAACAGTGAGGAAAAGATTGGAAGGGAGGGGAACCGCACACTGCGCACCTCTTTTTTTTTTTTTAGGCATTGTTAATGATATTTATGACCCGATTTTTTATAACCCGCTTTCGACCCGAATTATGACTCGCAAACGGAACTAAAAAGACTGTTTTAAAAAATTAAAAAATACCCCCTACCTATTTTCTAAAAAGTCTATTTTAAACCTTTTTTTTTCAAATTGATGTTTAGAAAAGACTATAATTATTTTGTCCAAACACATTTTAAACTTTAAACAGACTTTTTAGCCTTAAAAGTCTTTTTAAAACTCTTGTCCAAATGGAGCCTTGATTTTTTTTGTTGCTTAAATAAACCTTTTTTCCCTTTTCCATCAAATTTACTACTCCCTCCGTCCCATAATTATTGTCCACTTTGCCCAAAAAATTTTGTCCCAAACTTGTTGTCCAATTTAACTTTTTATGGATCAAGTTACACATTTGTCCTTAGTAAAAAACATTATCCATAAAATCTTAGTAGTTAAACAATTACTTATGTAGGGCTATATCTAGTTGTTTAAGGTAAAATATAGTTAAGTTTGACCAAAAATAAAATCTTTCATTTTAGTAAAACTGGACAATAATTATGGGATGGAGGGAGTATTTGTATTTAGAAAAGAGTGTTTTGCTGACTTAATGCACAAAGAAATTTGTCTCAGCTATTCTGATAAGAATTGTCTTTGTTACTTATATGATGAACTTAAACCAGGCTTGCATGTTGGTTTTGGCATCATTTTACTTTGTTATATGTTGCACAACAGCACAATCCAGACAAATGGTGATGATCTTTTTCCTCATCTTCTTTTCAAACACCGTGTTATGGATGATTCGCAAAGGGAAGTAAGCTAGCCGAACAACTTATGCAGATTGTTGTTGCTGGTGGTTTTTGTTGTTTTGGCGGTCCAGATATAAATAGGTGATCTATGTTGGTGATGTGCTCATAATTTACCTATTTTTAATATCCCTTTATGTGAAATTTTGCCAATATTTTGAGTACAAATGTGCTATTTATGTGATTTTATATTTGATTGTAGGAATTGTACTCAATTGGAGGAATTGTTGAAATTTTAGGCTGAAATGAAGATAAAATCAACTTAAAGGAAGAATTGAAAATTCGATAAATTGACAAAGAAGAAATTGAAGTACTTAAAAAATTGAAGGATTAAACAAGCAATTTCAGAATGTTGTTTGGTTTATGGAAATTGGCCAAAAACAATGACTTGCGGCTGATTTGGGATTGAATTTGGGTAAGAATTTTCATCTCAATATTATTTGGAAAATAAGTTTTTCTTCCTCTCCAAGAAGTAGGGTTTTGACGGAAGCCTATAAAAGGAGGATTAGAGATTTATTTTTACAACAGGACTGGACCGAACTTGACCGAAACCCTCACGGCTGCAAAAATATTCCACCGCCGCTGCAATTCTTCTCCTCCACACAGCCACCTTACACCGAAGCAAACCAACATCTCTGTTCTCCTTCACCGGCAACATCACCACCTTGCCTTCATCACCACGCAGCTCTCCACTGTCGAGACCACCTTGCTCCCTCACACCATAAATCACCAAACGCACACACGCAGCAAAACCTCCTTGCTTCCTCCTTGACTCCGCCACGCAGCACCACCATTAATCACCATCATCACCTCTCGTCATCATCACCAGCAGCCAAGTCCTCCGCCACGCAGAGCCACTGAAGCCGAAGAGAAAGTAAGCAGCAGCCGTGGACTTCAAGTCTTCAATTCGGCAGCCTTATTCTTCATTCGGGTTTTGGAGTTTTATTTATTTAATTTCAGATTTTTGGATAATGTCTCTAAATATTGTTGAATTATTTTTGATAATGTTTAGTGGCTAAATTCTTTTAATCTAGGGCTTGGGTGTAGCCGCCGAATTTATTTGGTTTATTTGATTCATGATATTTTGATTTTTCCATTGATCAATATTTGATATTCTTGCTTTTATTCCATATTTGTAAATAGCCACTACTTGCATGTTTAAAGATATTAATTGATGGAACGACAGTTGAAAATTAGTATTAGTTCATGGGAATATTAGACTTAGGTAGTGAACCACGACAGTAGGAACACAACTTTTGCAATGTTTGATTCTTAATGGTCTTAATGTGCTTTTATTAATCCCTATAGTCACGAGAGTAGTCATAGGGTTAATCTAAGTTAGAGAATTATAACACTAGAGTGTATAGTTCTTAATTAGATGAGTCGTTGTGAGATTAATGGAAGTTAAAAGTCAGATATTTATGAATTGAATCAAACCAAATATTCGGTAGGTGAACCCAATGTCCTAGGTTTTCTTTGTCTGATTATTTGAATTAATATTATTTGCCTTTATTTTATTTATTTATTTTAGTTTTAAATTTTATAAATCTGAGATCATCATTTATCTAGATAATAATAGGAGTAATTTATACCTGGTAATTATATTCCTTCTCTGTGGGTACGACCCTATTTTCTGCTATACTAGTGTTAAGTAGGTAAATTTATTTGACTAGTTGTGACGACGGCTTGTCAAATTTAGCGTCGTTGCTGGGGAAGGCAGCTAATATCGAAATTAGATTACTTTCTTTTATTAGTTTAGATTTGTTTTTATTTTATTCATTTTATTTTCTTGCTATTTTAGTTATTTCTTTCAAATATTTTTGTCTTGTTTTTATATGCGAAGTTCTAATCCTGAGACTTTGCAATTTGATCTAAAATCGAGAGAACAGCTCGTGCAAACAGAAAAGAAGCAAGGCTAAGAAAGGAGAAGAATCAGGGTGAGACCATGGGCGATAGAATTCGGACACTGAGGGATTACTTCACACCTACGGAGAATGTTGCTAGGTCAAGTATTACTAGGCCTACCATTGCGGTGAATACCTTTGAGCTCAAACCAGCATTGATCCAGATGGTGCAGCAGAATCAATTCTCCGATTTTAACAATGAGGATCCAAATGCCCATATTGACAACTTTTTAGAGATCTGTGATAATGTTAAGATAAATGGTGTGACGTCAGATACAATCCGACTCAGACTTTTCCCTTTCTTACTGAGAGGAGAAGCGAAGCATTGGCTGAATACTTCACAACTTGGGATGATCTTTACAAGGAATTCCTGATCAATTTCTTCCCACCAGATAAGGCAGCAAAATTGAGAAATCAAATTACTGGGTTTATTCAAGAAGATGATGAGACATTTCATGCTGCATGGACAAGATTCAAGGAATTGCAAAGAAGATATCCTCACCATGGTATTGAGAAAAGTACTCTAGTTCAGAC